GGTAAGGAGCAGACCCAGGGATCTGGCTGCATCTGTGCTTGGGTACCCACTTCTGCTTCAAAGACTCTTCTTTGTTTTCGTTAAAACATACCAACATAACTATCCTGAAATTAAGTGTGCCTTCTATGTGAATAAATAAATTATTAAGCCACAAATAATGTGCAAATAAACACACTGAACACAGATGCCTGCATTTACAGTAATCTCAGTCTCCCATCTATGACTCATGGGAATAATGATAAAATACATCGAATTCTTTTTCTCCATATTTCTTGACTTTCATTAGTGTTTGAAAGCTTTCATTATTGTTTGAAAGCTTTCACGCAATGATTCGTTCCTTCATTGAGAATCTGACATAGTTTGCTTGTAAAACTCTTACTATTTTCCCTACTATAGCAAAGAACAGAATTTGACAGAGGAAGAAGAAAGCCAAATATAAGCATTCTCAAGACCTTGAGCAATTCTGAGTAATGGGACTGTATAAATACAGTATACAGTATAAATATACCCAATGCTGCGTAGAGGCTACTTATAAGGCATATTGGTCACAAGAGGTAATCCCTCTGAGGTAATGCCTGTTGCATATAATGAAATTAATTAACCTATTTGGCTTATTGCTAGCTGTAAATTAATTCATGGGCTTAGTAAATCTTTGATTACAGTATTAGTAATGCACATGAGTACTAGAATAGACAGCTGTAGTTCAGGGTTAGGGCTGAGACTCAGTAAATCAAGCATCTTTCTGGGGTCCCAGTTCTGTAAATCCAGGACTGTCCTTGGAAAATAGGGACACTTGGAGGCCTGGACTTTTACAATGGTTGGTATCAGAGATATGCTAGCCCAATCCTTGCTGTGGAAGGAGAAATCCCAAAATGATTGAATAGTTCTGACTGCAAAGCTTCTTCTCTTCAGTAGCTGCCCACAGGTCAGCCTGAGGATAACAGAGAATCAGCGCTAGGATTTCAAATTCTGCTATGGACTAAGAGTGGTGCATAATTTCAATGTTTATGGTTTTGAGAATATTAAGTTATCTCAGCATTGTGGCCAATGAAAGGGCAATTGTAGGCAAAAAGTCCCCTGACTGCAGAAACTTGCACTACCAGCTTCATGTATTATATTGACAGTAAAAGCAAACGCCTGGCCTTCTGCTCCAGCTCTTGGATAAATGTCTGCATGTGATTTAATAGAAAGGTTTATTTGCTATGCAGATGACTCTCAGCCATGCTCTGAGATGAGATGCAAAGAGAGATTTATAGCAGAAACTAGCATGCTTGAATAAGCTAAGGAATTATTCCAGCTATCTCAGATTTAAGACACTTAGGCTCCAATCCTAGGTGGCATATCTACTCAGAAATAAGCTTCACTGAGTGGAGTGTGTGTGTAGAATTGCAGCCATAAGCAATAAGAAAACTGAAAAAGGATATTTCTCTGACCTTTATATTCATCCCAATAGTGATAATAAAATCAGAAATGAAACCCAGTTGCTGTCAGTGTTGCAGGAAACCTTTATTAGATTATTAGTCTAGATTATTAGATTGATTAGGTTATGTGTCTTGCAGGGGACTGGCTATACTTTTTTTAGCTCCCCAATCATGTCCACAGATACAGCAAGTTAAGAGTATTGGAAATTGACACTTTGACCCCTTTCAACCTGGCTGCCAAATTCTCCACTAGCTGAAGTTTGCAAACCATCTTCAGAGGCAGCCCCACATATAACATGTTGCAGTAATCTAACCTAGAGGTTACCAGAGCATAGGCAACATAAGTTAGGCTATCCCTGTCCCAATAGGTGTGCAACTAGGCCACCAGTCGAAGCTGATGGAAGGCAAGAAGGCCACAACAGCAATGGCTCCAGAAGTACCCCCAGCTGCATACCTGCTCCTTCAAAGGGAGTGTAATCAACAGTGCATGCAATGCCTGTATAGAAAAGAACTTAGAGTATTGTGGGTTACCTTGGTTCCAAATTTTGTGCAACGTTATGCTGATTATCTCTGTGCTGAGGTCCTGAACCATGCTGCATTTGTTTTGATTCCTGATAAGGATTCTCCTTATATCAGACAAAGGGTTGGTTCCAGATGTACTCTTCAGCAAGCAATGGAGACTCTAATCCAGCAGAGTCCCATTGGAGGAGGTTTCACCAGTCCTCAACCCCCCCCCAGATCCTTGAGCAAACTCTCATGTTGTTTAAGGATCTCATGAGGATCCTTAAATCCCCCAGAGCAGATTTTCAGGGGAACACAGGGGACAACCAAAGGGAGAAATAATGAGCAAAACTTGCCTTTCTCCCTTCCTCCAGCAGCAGTGTGCAGGTGTAGCCAACACAGTGGCCTCCAGGCCTTCTGGACTACAATTCCCATCACCCCTGACTATTGGCCATGCTGACTGGGGTTTATGGGATTTGGAGTCCACAACATCTGGATCAAGCCTTCAATTAATTCCCATTGCATTACATGCCATTGGTTTATAGCACAGTTTATTACACTGTAAATAGTGCTGTGGATTTCTTTTAGCCATGTTTCGCTCCATTCCTATCCCTGACAAAAAACAACAACACGTAATAGCTTTCACACATAAGGTTATTTTTGTAACACAAAGGCTATGCCCCCCAAAAATGTGGTGTGCAGACCACCTGCACCACTTGCAAAAAAATGATGTATGAAATAAAAAAGAAGGGCGAAGCATATCAAAAGCACGCGGCTTAAGATTCTTGTCTGTAAATTGCCGTTTTAGCAGCGCTGTCCTTGGTGCTGATTTCTGGTCTCTTTATAGCAGAGCTTTCCAAACTGTGTGTCGGATGCAGTGTGTAGGTATGTGGCACGAATGTTCCCCACGCTCCACCTGGGGCTGGAATGGGGTCAGTTTAACCTCTGATTTGCTAATAAAACTGAACCACTGTGTCGTGAAATGATGCGTGTCTAAAAATGTGTCACCAACATGAGAAGTTTGGAAAGCTCTGCTTTATAAGGATAGCACAATGTTCGAACCCAAAACTGGCTTCAATGCATTAGCCTCAAAAGCCACAAAGTCAGTAAAGTTTAAATGATGATCCCTAAAACAAGTTTTGTCTCACTATTGGCTAAGAGTTTTCCTTTGTAACTGGTCCACAAATCACTGCATTAGCCTCTTTTCTGTATTAGCTAGAACCTAACTTTCTTGATGAGGTGGAGCAAACTTTCAAGAGAATCATTCCAAGCAACCTTCATGAATTTTAACTACACTTTTACTAAGGTAGTGGTAGTGAAATTAGATTACAAAATGTTAAGAGCCCAGAAGTAACCCTAAAAGAACCCACTTCAGTATGCTCAACAGCAAAATCACCACAGGCAATTAATGCAAAAGTTTGCACCATTTAACTGCAGACCAATTCATCTAGAATAACCATGACAAGAATCACCTTGTTATGAATATACGTTCAAAAATACAGATTTGAATCTCCATTTTATCTCCATTCATTTATTGAAAGAGTGAATATTTCCATCCTTTTATTTTTCAACAACAACAACATTTTTTTCATTTATACCCTGCTCATCTGGCCCCAGCCCCACTCTGGGCGGCTTGCAGCACATATAGAAAACATAATAAAACATAAAACACTAAACATTTACCAATATAGGACTGCCTTCAGATGTATGTAGTTCTTGATCTCCTTGACATCTGATGGGAGGGCGTCACTGCCGAGAAGCCCCTTTGCCTGGCTCACTGTAACTTCACTTCTCGCAGTGAGGGAACTGCCAGAAGGCCCTCGGAGCTGGACCTCAGTGTCCCCAGATGAATAAGGTAAACAAAGGGAATCAAAGGGGCCACTGATGTGTTAAGTGAACTTGAGTATACATTCTGAGGCCCCATGCATAACAAGGGGTATAACAGAAGACAGCATATAATGTTCACCCCATTACAGTGGTACCTTGGGTTAAGTACTTAATTCGTTCCGGAGGTCCGTTCTTAACCTGAAACTGTTCTTAACCTGAAGCACCACTTTAGCTAATGGGGCCTCTTGCTGCTGCCGCGCCGCCGGAGCACAATTTCTATTCTCATCCTGAAGCAAAGTTCTTAACCTGAAACACTATTTCTGGGTTAGCAGAGTCTGTAACCTGAAGCGTATGTAACCTGAAGTGTATGTAACCCGAGGTACCACTGTACTTTTAATGTATGAAGCCTGAATAATAGTTTCACAGTGAGGGGTGTTCTCAGCTTCTCTTTTGCAATTGTAGAACCCACCTATCTGGCAACTCCTCAATGGCCAAAAGGATTTCGGAAGTGGTGTAGACTCTTCCAAGTTCTGATGGTTTATTATAGCAAGGAACATCCCAATAGCACTGACTATGCAACCCTAGACATGGCTACTCAGAAGTGAGTTGTATTTAGTAACCCTGAGTTTCTGTTCTTGATATTCTGCAATGACTTATACTGTCCCCACCCCACCCCTAGCTTGATTTGGCTTCCTTGCAAAAGATTGTGTAGAAAGGGCACACAGAGTGACTTCCACAATAGTTGCCTGTGGAACTCCCCTGCACTGGAGACTCCCAAAGACTGAACACCATCCTGAAAGTTATGTAAATATATTCTGATCTGGAGAGGATTATAGCAAGGTATCTCTCTATACAGTGAATATCAGGAAAGAGTTTTGGTAAAAGGAGGCAAGACAAACTCCTTGCCTTCTTTGTCTTCCAGACCTGACTGTTCCACACAGCAGGTTAAAAACTTTAAAATACAATTAATCCTACTTGTGGCTGTATGTGACATCATCCCAGCTTCTCCAAATGGGGTCAAATCACTTTTATAGCTCATCTCCCATTTGAAATGCTGTAATCAGATGAAATGTTTGCCGTTTCCTTCTTTTAAGGCCAGCATATTTTTAGCCCATAGAATGATTATATGTGACTAAACAATGCAGCTCCTGCCACAGGGGTGTAAAAACAAGGCGGCAGAAAAGCATTCGTTCTTTTTTGCCAGTAGATGGGGCTATCCCTTAATTTGCTGCCTCATTTTATTTCATTATTTATATATAAATCTCTCTCCCTCTCCCCCCACTTGCTTCTTTCTTTTTTTCTTTTTTTATCCCTCACCAGCAATTTTTCCCCCTTACGGATGTTGGGGAACACAGAGTGATTCTCAAAGGAAGACGCCAGGGCAGAAGATTACTGCAAAAAAGGTTTCCTTTTTGGTTTTAGGGCTGGATCGGTTTGTCAATGAGACAAGTGTAAAAATGGGAGACTTTGGAAAGCTACTATCCTGAGGAACCTGAACAGCTGAAGCAGGAAAACCCATATATGAAGATCTATGGATAATGGCATTGCTTGTCCTGTAATTCATCATTCTTCTTTCCAGGTAAGACGATGGACTTAAAAGAGAATATTTCCTCTGCTGGCTTTGTAGCAGTCGCACCATCAGGCCAGCTTATTGATTGTTCCTCTCTCCTGCTGGCGCACCTAGCTGGCAATTAATTTTAGATGCATGCAGAACACAAACGGCATCATTTTGGGAAGGTTCTGTTCCATTTTGAATGGAAAGCCATTTAACATCTTGCCCACTGTGTGTTTCTGTTTTCCTCATTAAAATCTGCATTTTCTGGAACGCACGGGAGAGATTTCTCTCTTGCAAACCTGTGGTCATAAGCTGTGGTTGCTGGTCCTCCTGTCAGCTACAAGTGTTAACGTTGCTTTTGTCCATCTCCCCCCCGGATGCTCTTGTGGGTTTATTTGATGCACACAGACCAAAAAAGAAAAAATGGTGAGAAAACAATGGGGCAGATCAAGAAAACGAAGGGAGAGGGGGCTCATCAGAGTGTGGCGGGGACGTGCTGTTCTTCTGGAACATCTTCAGCACGGCAGAATGCTGCTTTTGTAATATTAATTTGTTCTCTTGCCTCGGCGTGGCATATTGTATTGGCTGTACCGTTTCATCCCAGTGAAACAGTCGTTTTTACATAGGAGACATTGTGAAAAAGAAGAGGAGGAGGAGGAGGAGGGAGGACACATATCAAGTATCTCAACAGTGTAGCAGGTTCTGCAAGACACACCTAATGGCTAAACCTTTCAACATGCTTGCGATTAACCTTCCTTGAAACAGGCTGAACTCCATCTTTTGACAGGTACTGATACCTCCTCTGCCCCACCCTGCATTATGTATATTATTCAGATTGTTCGGACCGGTGGGGTTCTCAGAAGGCAAATGCCACTCCCTGACTTGTCCATTCTCCCCCATTTTGATTCGAAAGCAATACATTGGGGGCTTTGTGGGTGGGGAATCACAGGTAAAGCTTGATTTCGCCCAGTCATGATTCACAGAGAGAGACCAGCAATGTTATGTGCAAATCTGCCCACGGAGAAAAAACCCTCGCTCTGTATCCTTCAGCAATAAGCAACGGAGTCAGTATTCCGGTGTCTGTGTCAGCGGCTGTCACAGCAACCGTGGTTTGCCAGTTTAATTACATGGGAAGCAGGATCAGCCTTGGCCTCCAAGAGATCCTTTGGCGCATATGCATTTTAATGAGATTTCCACTGTGGCTGCTTCTTCTTCTTTTTCCTTTGGGCGGGGGCAGGAAGGGAGGTGGGCTTTTTGCATGTTGATGCGCTCAGTTGATTCCGGAGCCGAGCACTGATTTGGAGGGTGCTGTGTGCAGCACTGTCATGGCTAGAGGGTGAATGCAGCTGTCTCCATGAGATGGTAAAGGATCCGCCCTTGTTGGGCAGGAAGTAGGGAGGAGGCACAAGTGTTGTTCCTGGCTGATGTGCCTGGGATGGGTTTTGTACACGAGAGGTGTTGAATGCCAAGCTGAGCATGATGCATCATCACCATCCCCGTTACCTCTGACCTTTTGTGCTTCCAGCAATGCATTTATTATTAAGCGCAGGTACGCATCTAAGACACCGATTTCCAGTCAATGGAGTCGTTCATAGATAGGGTATGCGTGTATCTAAAGCTGCACAGCAGAATCTGAGGGAACACAAGATGGGAACATAGATCGAGGAAGATCAATGTGTTAGTGGGAAAAGCAAGGACTGTGTTATTATGGCTGGACAGAGATCTAACTAAGCAATTAATTCCAAGGCAGGCAGCCATGTCTGTCTTTGGCATTAAAACGGCAACAGCAATCTTGAAGGCACCTTAGAAATGAACAGATTTATTGGGGCTTTTGCGGGAAAGAAACCACTTCAAATCGCACGACAGACAGCTGTGATTCTGGTTCTTCAGATGTTTTGGTCACAGGGCCCAACTAACTGCATTTGCTACACCTCTTTTGGCATCACTCACTCTTCAATAGGGTTGCCAACTGACAGCAAAGCAGACCTTGCTTGCGCCTGCGTCTTTAACAAACAAGCCTTGCATAAATCATGAGTACTTATACACCATACTTTTCTGTGTATAAGTCTAGGTTTTTTCTTTAAAAAAATATGTTTAAAAGTGTGGGTCATATACATGGAGCCATCTCCCCCCATGTTCTTAAATTTGAGGTCCCCCCCAAAAAGGGGGCGTCTTATACATGTGGGTGTCTTATACACATAAAAATATGGTATTTTCATGTGAGGGAACGAAATCTTAACTACCACCTGTTAGTTGCTGCAGATCAAAGTGTGGTTAGATGCATAGGAGCAGGGGCCACCCCAAAAGCAGGTAAAACGAGGGCTTTTTTTGAGCCAGAACTCACTGGAACTCCATTCTGGCACCTCTCAGGTGGTGCCATTGCCATTCTAAGAGGTGTTCATGGTGAGTTCCAGCACCTCTTTTCCCCCGTAGAAAATAGCACTGGGTAAAACTGCCCTTCATTTAGATTTGCTGTGTTCCAAATGAATATGATTGGCAGAGTATTTTCTCTAGTTACTTGGTAGTACCTCCATGGTTCTCTGCAACTGAAGTACTAGGCCTCATTTTACCCAATGGAATTGCAGTCATACCTCGGGTTGAATGTGCTTCAGGATGATCGCATTTGAGTTTCGCTCTGCGGCAACCCAGAAGTTACGGAGCACGTTACTTCCAGGTTTCGCCATTTGCGCCTGCGCAGACGCTCAAAATGATGTCACACGCATGTGCAGAAGCGCCGAAACGTGACCCGCGCACACGCAGACACGCGTGATGTGAATGGGGCTCCGGAATGGATCCCGTTCGCATCTAGAGGTACCACTGTATTATAATTTAGATGCAACTGACTTTCTTATGAACAAGGATTGTGAATACAAGTGGGGGCTGTTGGCACAATCTCTCCTGGGCACGTCCTCCCTCTTTGTGAAACCCATTTGGCTCCCTGGTATAGTTCTGTGCTTAGGGCAAGGAAACAAGCTGGAGAGACAATTCAAACGTGGGTGAAGGAAAGCTCCAGCCAAATGCAACTGAACACTGGTGAGGCTCATCAGAGAGCCTAGCCAGTGGCAGTGAAGGCAGCAGAGGCAGCACACTTTGCTGCCTCTGCTGCCTCCTCATTGCACTGTCCAGAAGAGTTTCCCCATGTACTGCAAGTCATTTTACAGTCTGGCCCAAAGGAGGGGGCAGAATTGATGGTAGCTCACTGTGACTTGCTTAGGATAAGTGAGGATAAAATCACTTGTATCCACTGAGACCTTGACTCCACTGTTACAGCAGATGGAGCTCAAGGCTGTGGACTGGCCCTCCACCCATTTTTGTGCTTGCTTCATGGCCCTCAAGTTTATGGGTATACCATGGAGCTGCACAGGTTCTGCTCAACCACCCGAGTCCTCCCTCTATTACAGAGAACAACCAGAACTTCAAAAGGAATGCCATCTACACCAGCTGGAAAATTCACCAGAACCCTCAGGAATCCACCAGCTTCTGCACACAGATCATTTCAATAGGTTTCCCACTCCTTCAAAGGAGTAAAGCCACTGACAGCCTAAACCTCAACAGGAAGTGATCACAACCATACTCCTGCACAACTTCAACTCAGCTCAGGCACCAGTTAATTCCTGGCTGAATTGGAATTGCATATTAAAGACGTTTGTTTTTCCAGAACATCCACTCTGACTTTTCCTACCCCTATTTCAAAACATTAGAAGTGCCGCTTTGTAAATTGACAGGGTACTCCTATGCAGGTTTATTCAGAGGTAGGTTCCCCATTGTGTTCAGTAGGGCTTGCTCCCAGGTAAACTATTCACAGAATGGCAGCCCCAGCCTGGTGTTTGGCAAAAGTGCCTTAACATGGTTCCATTTAAAATATCTAAAACCCAATGCTTCCATTTTAAAAGCCCATTTAATATTGCACAGGGGGGAAATAGAATGTCTCGGAAGGGAGAGGGTGCTGAGCCAGCTGCAGACATGAAGATAGCCTGGTAGGCTGTAGGAAGGTTTAGTTGCAGGAGGTGATCATGCTGCCATATGCACACAAGTATTCCCTGGGGAGAAATAATCCAGCTGGCATGTGCTATTGAGCAGCACAATATGCGCTAGCAGACTTGAATCATGTTGGCCACAGCATTTTCCTCAGGCTAAAGAGCAAGGTCCACTGCAAGCTGCATTTCTCTTATTGCAAACATGTTCCATAAAGTGTTGTTCTTTCTCTTACAGTCAGAGGTTTTAAAGTTATTGGAATCTTTTGCGGTGGAACTCAAAGCTGACCCATGATCCTGATGTATGCTGGATCCACTTCATAGCCCAGTTCTACTTAGATGGGCAGTATGCGGAAGGCATGACGCCACACACATGAAACTCGACAGAGAGCAAGATAGGAGGACCAGGCAGACCAAATCAGTAGTTACACCAGAGTTCACCCCAGTGTAGCTAACTGCTTTCCTGTGCTCCTTCAGCAGCAATATCAACACCACAGTAGCCATGAAAGGGGCTCCTTTGCAAACACTCCCAAGTGACTGAGCACAAGGGATTGATTTGTGTGTGTGTGTAACACACACAGGAGCTTGAAGCCCTTGCTGCCATCTCCACTACCCACCTCCCTTGCCCATCTAAAGAACCTCAAACATTACCAGAGAAAGGAGGAGGAGAGGAGGCTGCAGCAAGAGTGATGCAGATGCTTGAAGCCTCCATTTCCTGCACAGGGAAGGGACGGTTTGTACATGTCCCAGCGTCCCCCACCCAGCAGAAATTGACTAAAGAGTACCCTTTGTGGGAGATGCCATCCCAGGGTCCCTTCACTCTGCACGGAAAGGATCCTTCAAACACCCATGCCCCCGGCCCTTCCATTTCTCCTCTCCCAAGTGGTTTGTGAGCCCTTGTTTATGTTCTGGAAGGGCACACAGGTCAATTACACACAGGTTCCCAGCACATGCATTTGCAATGCAACAAATGCATTTGTGACATGTGACAACCTACATGCACATTTCACCATTCTTCGCCCACATACTTCTTCTAGGTAGCAGGGGAAA